CCCCTGGAGAGGAGGTCTGGACCTAGGTTCAGTCTCCCCGGAACATGAATGGCTCTGATAGACAGAAAATGAACACTGCTCCACTGTAAAAAAAAAATGTGAGACAGGTTCAGCAGGGGAAGAGACCGAGTCCCCCCTTGTCTGTTTATATAAGAGACCACTGCTGTATTGTCCGTTCTGATTAGAAGATGATGGTTCTCCAGAACTGGACAAAAATGTTTCAGTGCTAACAGGACTGCTAACACTTCTAGGCAGTTTATGTGGAGCTTGGACTGTTGTGGAGTCCAGGTTCCCCTCACTGCCGCGCCGTCGCACAGGGCTCCCCAACTTTTCAGGGAGGCGTCTGTGGACACCACTTTGCGAAACGACACCCTCCCAATTGGAGAACCCTGATACAGGAGGCCAGGTTCCCTCCAGGGGCTGAGAGCCGTCATGCAGGAAGCAGTTGTTAGCTTTTTGTGTCTGTGTCGAGACGGACACAGCCTGTGGGACTGAGACCAATGCTGAAAATGGCACATTTTTAACAGCCCGGGTGGCACTACTGAAATCATGGAAGCAATCATTCCCAGTAACTGTAGTATGGTTTTGAAGCTCAGTTTGCATCCCAGTTGAAACTGAGCTAAGCATCGGTGAAACGCGGCTGCTCTGTTTTCTGAGAGGCGAGCCCTGCTTGACAAGGAGCAGATTTCTAGTCCGAGGAACGAAAACTGCTGACTTGRTGTTAATAGAMTTTTCTGGGTGTTTACTAAAAACCCTAAAGCCTGAATRTGTGACAGAACCTGAGACAGCTGATCTAATGTTTGCTCTTTGGAGCTTGCGATCAGAGCCCAGTCGTCTAAATATGCTAAAAGACAGACCCCCCTTTCCCTGAGAGGAGTCAACGCAGCTTCTATGCACTCTTGAAAAGGTGCGAGGAGCTAGCGATAGACCGAACGTTAGCACCAGGTACTCATAGGCTACACCCTCGAAGGCGAACCTAAGATATTTTCTGTGCTCCCGGTGAATCGCTATGTAAAAATAGGCGTCTGTTAAATCAATGGTCGCAAACCAATCGCCCGGGCTGATCGAGTGAATTAGCTGTTTGAGCGTTAACATTTTGAACCCGTATGTTTAAAGGTACCTGTCTAACACTCTCAGATCCAAAATAGGCCGCAGGCCGCCCCCTTTCTTCGGGACAAGAAAATAACGGCTGTACAGACCTTTTTGTGTTTCTGCAGCTGGAACCACTCGAATAGCTCTCTTTGTTAGCAACGTGCAAATTTCCTCTCTTAAAATGGCGGCTGCCTCGTTTGTCACCACTGTGTTTACGATGGCCCAAAAGCGAGGTGGCCTGACGTGGAACTGCAGCCTGTAACCCATAGCAACAGTTCTTTGTACCCATGGAGAGGGTGCGCATGCGCACCAGGGAGGAAGTCGCGTTGCTAAGCGACTGACTTGCCTTACTGTTGGAGACGTGTCGCTGCTGTCCTCCATGGATGGGGAAGGGACAACATTATTGACTGTCGCCCGCAGCTTATTGTGTCCATTTGTGCACAAAGATAATTCTTTAATGACACATTGAAAACATTGGCAGAACTGTTTATTAAAATTTTGCATTTTAAAACACAATTTGCACCCAGGGAGGGGGCTACATGTTATTTTGTTTATTTTTCGGGACATTAACAGAGGAGACTGAACATTTGAAACCCGACGCCTCTTGGGGCCGTTTTCTGAAACACAAACATTTAACTTTTCAACTGCAGCTGAACATTGTCTCTCTGTTTTTGAAGTCTCTGTGAAGACAGTCCTGCTTTTAGGAGGACTTTGACTTCTTCCGAGCCGCTGAACTGTCCTGCTGACTCGAAGAGGGGCCTTTGCTCCATGCTGATTGACAGGGAGGCTGCGAC